TAAAAGGCGGGAAAAACAAACCCCTGATGCTAAAAAAAAAAAAAAAAAAGTGCTTACAGTATAAGGAAAAGTATATTTACTGTCACATACTTCAACAGGTTTTATGAGATAGTGTATTTTCCAGGCATAGGTGAGGCACCTGATAGAAATCACTCTGTTCCTGGATCTCTTCCCATATGTAGCCTTTTAAAATTGCTCTTGAATTATTAACATTATTTGCATTAAAATAGGATTATAGTGACTACAAGATATTTCTGCTCTCATTACTCGCTTTCTTATTCCCTGTGTAACATCACAACTTGTGGTTTATGACTTTATCATGACTTCAACAGCATTAATCTCTGGTGTCAAACATAGTTGATGTTTTCTGCGGAGGCAGTAGCAGAAGACAAACACTCATGAAGAAATTTATGATTTAGAGAAACTTCTTCTGTGTCAAAGAAGAATCCAATGTACAGCAATGCTACCAGAGAGCAAAATCCTTCTTCTGGGAGAGGAGACAAGTGATTCCGTGGTGACACTGCTAAAATTTTCCATTGTGGACATACCTTGCATAGACTTCCTAAAATTGCTAGAGATTATTTTCCTCTCAGAAAAGGCACTGAATCTGTGCCCCTGACCATGCTGTACTTCCCTCCTATAGTTTTCTGATGGCATAAGAACTGTGGCAACTTTGCTTAGCCACGTCCTGTTCTTTTCATGATGTCTTTATACTGAAGGCAAATGGCTGCACTTCTTAAATCAGCAATCACTGTCGACATCTGTGGGGCCTCCCCATCTACAGCTGAGAGAACCCAGAGAGAGAAATCCAAAATAATTTATGTTCATATAATACTTAGTCTCTTTCACATACTGTCAGTGCAGGTAGCCATGCAGGGCCTGCAGAAAAAAAGTACAGCTTTCACCTCCTTCCTTGAAAGACACTGGACATCAGTCTGACTGCAAGGGAGCGTCTAGTGTCTATGTTCAGAAGGCAACAGAATTACTGAATTTATTCCTTCATGAACCACTAGGAGAAATGATACTGTATTTTTCTTTCATTAATTCCACTGAGAGTAATTAATTAATTGGGATCCCAGACTAGTGTTTGCACAGCTATTGCGCATGCTTTGCTAAAGGTGGACCGCATCGTGAAACTTGAGTCAAATACTCTTTTTACTTAAGAATTTGAATAGTTATGTGGTTGGTAGCACTTGAAGAAGGAAAAATTACATCCATTAAGTGCTTAAAGTGAGAAGGAACTGTAAAAAAACTGAGACATTTGTATATTTGCAGTGCATATTATTTAGAGTTGTCTGAAGTAGCTGCTAGGGCCAGGAAGCTAAAGCAAGGGTCTAAGGGACTTCATACAAGTCTCCACTGCAGATATTTGTGTAACATACAGAATGGCTTACTTCGTGTTTTATAAGCTGCTCCCTTTCCCTCCCATCCCCCCTCATACTATGCATGAAAGTGTAATGAATCAAAGGTCTGGCCCTGGGTCTTTAGAGATTTCCCAGCTCTCTCTCTTCCCCCACCCCTTCTCCCCATACCAACACCATTTCCACCAACAGCCATAGGACTGCTACACGCAGATACAGTTAACCCTTTTTGGCCACCATTGGAAAAAGGCAAACTGCTGTTGTAAGACTGAGGAACATTCAGTCTCCAGCTGGAAAACAGTCAGGGAGAACCCAGTTTCAGCAGAATTCCTCTGAATTCCTGCACTCCCAAGATGAAAAAAAAAAGTCAGAAAAAGATTGTGCTAACATGCCCTCAATTTGAAAAAATAGAGTTTGCCAGGAAAAGAAGGAACTAACCAGAGTGGACTTTGAAAACCCCATCAATGAGGAAATTAGTCAGTCCATGCTTGTATATTCTCACCAAACATCCCCAACACATAGGAATGTGTATCAGTTTTGTCCTACCCATATCATACTACGTATCTCTAACGAAGATGGCTGTCATATTGTCCCAGACCAATTTTCTTAAGGCACTACACTTTTCTTGTTGGTATTTATGAGAGGAGACAATTTCTATGCTAAGAGTTAATGGAAGTGATGAAGTTTGCCCGGGTCCTAGAAAAACCTTGCAGTTTCATCCAGCTGCACCTGGAGACACCAGTTTAGCAAAGAACCTCACAGAAATTTATAGCTGAAGGTTATGAGAGCCCAAATAATTTCTCACCTGCGACTTGGCAGCTAATGGTAACATTTGCTCTCTGGATTGTTTTCACTGTGCTTCCAATATCAACAGTGACAGCAGGCGATTCAGTGTTGATCACAGTAGCTCTTGATGCCTTTATCAGTGGCTTTCCTGTATAAAAGAAGCACGACAGTTTATCAGACCAAGCACACTGGCTTCACATGGGACAGATAGCCTAGGACACTCTGTGTGAAAGTACCTACACAGGACAGGTTGATAAAGGAAAATGCTTGAGTATGAGCCCACCTGCTCTTTATAATATTACAGTGTCACCAAATTCCATGGGAAAAGCTGTCTTGGAAAAAGAAAAAGCATACTTAGAGCACAAGCATAATAGCATTAAAGACACGGACACACATGAGAACCAGCTGAATCAATAAACACCTGTACAACTGGAGCTGCAGCAAGATGTTTTCCCGGTACTGCAGCCAAAATATCACCCTTTGCCAAAGGCCAAACATAGGAAAAAGAAGCCTGAGTGATGGTTACAGGCACATTAATAATGCAGGAGGTATAGAGCAATGTGCAAGCTGTTTCTACACATCAATCACGTCTTCTTTAACCTACAGTGGAAACAATGGGATTGGGAAGACCAGACCATAACCAGAAAGTTTTCTGCACATAAACAAACTCCTTTCTGTCAGATAAGCTGTTTTATCTAAAGCCTGCGGTAACAGTGCATTAGCATTGTTTATCTCTAACAAAGATAGCTGCTTTGCCCGAAACAAACTTTTGAAACCGTTTTCAGTGTGCTTCCAACATTGGCAACAGTGAGCAAGTGGGTCTAAGGTGTTCCCCTGCTGTTGTGCCTGTCTATATGGGCTTAACATTGGAGTTATCCACCGTCAGGGGCTTGAGGAGCCTTCTGCAACTCCTTTTGTAGGGGCACTGCAAAGCCATGCCTACGTGACACAAAACAGTTCAGAGACCGTTAGGCTTAGCTCTGAGAGAGGGGAGTGAAGCAGCAGAGCTGACAGGGCTGGGTTAAGGCAGCCCCCTGTCCCAGCCAAAATGCTGTGCAGGCAGGATGTTGGCAGGAGGGGCAGAGTAGGACAACACCGCTTTAAATAGTATGGGACATGGGTGTTTTTGACTCAGTGTTGTATTTTCAAACTTTTTGATCTTCATCCAAAAATCTATAAACACATTCTTTTTGCCCTTTAAATAAATGCTCAGGTACAAAACAGGTTCAGACACCATCATTTGCCTCCAAAACCTGCAGCTTTAGGACAATGTCTACCACTAGCTTCATTTGTGTGTTAATCTGGAGATGACCAAGGAAAAAAAGATGGAAGTGTGAAAAAGTATTTGGTTTCATTGGAGCTCATGGAGAGTCCTGAAAATTTAATTCAGCTCTAACTATAAATTGCTCCACATAGCTGTATTTCCAGGGCTTTTTAAAGATACCTTTCATCTGGAATTCCTGTCATATCAGTTTGGGGTTTTTTTTTGCTGTTTTTTAAAAAAAAATTATTTCGGTGCCTTTAATGCCTAACAACAGCAAAGTAAAATCCTACATTGTATTGTTGAAATACCTCCAAAAGTTTTGATGCTTTGTGGAAAAGCCTAACAAAAAGAAAGAAAATTTTTTCAGCTATCCACTAGCCTTTTACTTTCCTCACTGGTTTCCACAATCTCATCAAAAGATTAGAAATCTGTTAGCTGTTCGACCCATAAATGAGTAGCAAACCATTGAGAAAAATGGAAGTATATTCCACTGCCTTTTTTTTCCAGGCATATGTTAAACTAATCAGAAAATTCTTCAATGAAATAAGCTTTCAGCCCCACTCTTGATCCCTCTAAAGATGGTCTCAGCTTTTCAGCTCTTTTAGAGAAAGTACTTCCATTATGCCAAAAAGTTTGTTGCTTTGTTCCAAAAACTGCTCAGTATCTCATTTTGATATTTATGGCCTCATTTTATAAGGTATTCAGCTCTTTGCCTTGGATGTGAGATGGAAATGTATACCAACTCCTAAGCAGAGTTCAGCTTGCGTCTGGGATGCATGAATGTTAATTTGTCTGAAAAGACTAAACACAGCCTTGATAATTAATTGTAATATTTTTTTTAATTTTCAAAAAATTAATAGCCTTCCTGTACCACATGTGTATCTAATGCTTAGTTTATTTTTCTATATCTTCACACAAGAGACTCTCCACAAATTATGTTGTATAAAGACTATGTCTTTTAAACTCACTGGAGCAATATGGACAGAATAGCAGTTTTGATGATTTTTTAACCTCATGGTCAGCTTCTTGCTGGTGCAACACAAGAGGTTTACTGTGGAGTTGCTCCTTTATAAAACACTATACTGCCTTAGCAGCAGCACCACTACCCTGCTGCCCAGGATTCAGCAAAGTAATTCCTGATCTGCAGTAGTGTAAAAAAGATCAGTCTCTTTGTTTTTGCCTACATGTGATATGTAGCGCTGATGCAGATCTCCCTTTTCCACCCTGGGGGATTCAGCTGTTCTCCTTCTAAGGGACAGACAAGATCTCTTTCCAATTGGTTTACTGATCATCAGAGCTTCACTGCTGGCCACTGCTGCATTCTTAGATTGTTTTTATGCTCCTCTTACCTGAAATGTACTTTGGTGTAAAAAACTCAAGCTCATCAACAGCTATTCTTTCCTCTAGTCATATATGGATACACAAGCAGCTGATGGTCACTGCCTGCACACTGGAGGCCTCCAAATGCTTCCACATTCTGGAGCAGTCAAATGGAGAGGTCTGAAAAATCAATAAGCTTTCTAGCATTCTTTTACCTTTGTGATAAATAGGATCCTCCTTCTCTAAGACCTCTCTGCCTCATCACAGTCCTTAGCTATCTCTTCCATTCCTTCATCTTACTCAACAGCTCCTCATTCATGTTTGCTGCTCTGTCCATCTACTAGTCTTGACATGGTCGTGACCCTGCTGACATTGCCTGCCAACAAACCTTGAATAGGCTGGATTAATGCCCTACCTCTTACTTCCCTTGGCTTTTATTTTGGTGAGTTTTGTTTAGGACTGAAATCTAAACTAACAAAGGATATTTAGTCTGCTTTAGAACTCAACCATTACTAGAGAAATAAAAACATAGACGTTAATTTTTTGTGAACCTCTATTTGCCAGCAATTGAAACAGTGTTAGCCCTCCTTGTGCCACAATGGATTGAATACGATACAGGGATTGATCCTCCAAGGGGCTAGCTTTTCAGCTCTGGTATTCTTCAGGCTTGCCTAATGTACATTGTAGTAAGTCCTTCAATCAGTCTGTTAGACTTGAAGAGATCAGCAATAGGTTTAAAATGAAGCATACGAATTGGGAGGCTTGGACTGCAGTGCCCACATAGGCTGTGAATAATGAGGATGAACACTGCCTTCAGAGCACACTCCAGATGCACCAAGTGAGAAAAAGCACTGGTCTCTTGCAGAGATTCACAAATCTCACGACCTGTCTGTGAAAGCTGGACTATGCCTCAGGAGGGTTTTCCAGAGTTCACACCCTGTGTTTTTACCAGTGTGCATCTCTTAAGCCACCTTGCCCACCCAGGATCTGCAGCCACCTGTTGCCCATGTCCAGAATCACACGTGTCAGGGACTATCCTGCAATCACACAGAGTGAACTATTACCTGATAGAGTGACAGCAATGGAGACAGAATCAGATCCCAGGGCATTGGATGCATTGCAAGCATAGAAACCCACATCGGCTTCCACGGGCGCTAGAATCTGCAAGGAGTCATCAGGCTGAAGGAGCATCCTGGAGTATAGCAGAAAGAAAGATGTAATAGTATCTTAGTTTGTGTGAGCATGAATACATTTACTGGGATTTTTTCAGGTTTAGGTAATTTTTTACAGTACAAGCCTTTAGGTTATATTTAAAAATCTATTAAGAAATTTGAAGTTTTATATTGAGCTTGTGAGCTGTAATTACTTAAACTTTAGTCTCATTCCCAGTTCTACTGCTCATATGTGTATCAGAGAAAGATTGCTGAGTACTTGGGACATCTGCCCATGGTTTGCGAAACCTCTTCTTCTGCTGTGTTACTTCTTGTATGATGTTAAATGAGTTGCCTAGCCGCTCTGCCTTCCAGTTTTGTAAAGTAGGATTAGGAATGGTAAAGAAAAAGCCAAATTATTGCAAGTGAAAAATCATGAAACCTGCTGAAGCTGGGCAGAAAAAAGTGAAGTGAACCACAGGCTTAGTGTCAAAGCCTGAAATAGTCTCCAAACTATTTGATTGCTGGGCAGTTTGTACAACCTCAGCAGTCTCTGCTCCCCTAATAGTCAGTGAAGACGGAGAGGAATACTAGGCTCCTCCCTGGGCCGAACTAATCATTCCATTCCTCTCCTAGTAAGAGGAGCCTAACGCGACCTCAAGTGTACTGCCCATGGTTAAACGGGACGAATATGGGCTTAGAGCTCTTATAATAAACTACTTCTTTTCACAGTCTGTTTTTTCAAGTGGTATGACTCCATCAGGTCCTGATGTATACCTATTAAAGCAAGAACTCAGTCCATGGGCTCTTGTCAATGCTTATGTTCCCTTATTTTCAGCAGAGTGTATTTAATGACTATTGTTCATTTCTCTTATTTTTTTTTTTTTTAGCTGAAACTGTTGATAAAACCTAATGATAAACTACTTTCCTCATCAGCAATTTTCAGCAGCTGTTGTACATAAACTCTTAGTTGAGGATGTTGATTGGCAGTGACAAGGGTGAAAGTCAGGGAGGGATATGCCTGTGAAACACATGCAATAGAAGTCTGCTCCCAGATCCCGGAATTGATGAGCTTCTTTCCACTCCCACCCCCCTAATGACAACTGTTGTCTTACGGACCAAAAAGCAGCAGATACTTGATCTTGCACAACACTGTGGGTGGTAGAACTCTAAAACAAACCAGACTAGGGCCACCCATCAAAATCTATTACAGTAAAAAATCCAGAGTTAAAATTATTTTTGACCCTTTTAGAATAATAATAATAGTAATTATTAATAAAAGGAAAGAGCTGCCTTTTGCCAAGCTTTGCAAGTGCCTAGAAAAACGCACATTTGCAAAACAAACATTAATAATTTTTAAATTGCATGTTTGCTTGCACAGCACAAAAACCCTCAATGGCTGAAAGAATTCCCTCCCTACCTCTTTCAAGGCTCTTTTCTTTCTTACCACTTAGTCATAAACAGGGCAGACTTATAGTTAACCACTGCTATCAGTGCCAGTAACTGACAAATTACTTACAAAACTAATGTTAGCATGCATCTGTATCTCACGTGTAAATTTTTAGTTTAACACTGACTGGTTCAATTTCTACATGGAATTCATTACAGCTTCAGAATTTTTCCCAAATTATATTAGCATATAACAGTTAGAAGTTGTGTGTGCCTGTGCACGTCTGCCTGCATGCATGCAAATATAGTATGCAGGCTGATAAGTCAGTCCTACATCAAACACCTACAACCCCCTAAAAAAGTTTTTAGAAATGTTTCTGTCACATTCAGGTTTAGGAAAGAGCTTGCTAATATTGGACCGTGTAAAACACAAAGGATCAGTTTGTTGTTAATCAACTCTGCTGATGTAAATCTCTCTTCGTCAGTATAAGACACCTCAAGATCCATCACAAATATTTTTAGGAATAGAAATAGGCCAGGTAGGTACCTGCCTTTAAAAAAATTAAATTCTAGTGCAGCTCCATCTTCCTATGTTTTCAACCCAAATTTTAATGTTCATCTCTAGAAACAAAGATAATGTCATAGAATCATAGAATGGTTTGGGTTGGAAAGGACCTTAGAGATCATCAAGTTCCAACCCCCCTGCCATGGGCAGGGACACCTCCCACTAGACCAGGTTGCTCAAAGCCTCATCCAGCCTGGCCTTGAACACCTCCAGGGATGGGGCATCCACAGCTTCCCTGGGCAACCTGTTCCAGTGTCTAATCATCCTCACAGTGAAAAATTCCTTCCTAATACCTAATCTAAATCTACCCTCTTTCAGCTTATACCGGTTGTCCTCTTCTTTTCAGTAATTCTTTCTGTTATTTTTATGTCACAATTTGGCATAGCTGCTTTTCTTGAAAGCAGGTATTTTATCATCCTTCTTTGTACAAAATGATTTTGGCTGGATTCCGTATTTGCTTGTAGACTGCAAAAAAAAAAAAAAACCAGCTATAGCAATTCTTTCTGTCAACAGCATGTCTTCAAAATTTCATTTATGGACTTAAAATTATACAACTTAATGTTTAATCAGTCTCATCTCAGTTGCTCCACACTACATTGTCTCCAACAAAAAAACGTATTTTACAGGACCTGTATCAGTGACCAATTCAAATAGCACCTCGCAAACTCGTAACTCTGTATCACCCCTGCTTACATTCTGCTTCATGTCCATTTATAAAATACATTTCTGTTTTAGAAAAGATGAATTATCAAGTACCAATGGGTTCCCAGTGATGGAAGTTACCATATACTTGGAAGACTCATTAAACAATGCATAAATTCATCAAAGATTTTTCACTTTTAAAATTTATTCCTAAGGAAGTTAATCTGAATTTTCTTTGAAATAAAACATTTTTGATCACTTACCAAAGTCTCCAGAAACTGCACTCAGAACCCATGCTGGTGTTAACCTGACACTTCAATCTTATGAGAGAGTATGGACACTCATGCTAAATATGCACACAGGCTGAACATGCAGACTCATGTCAAGGATCTTTTACTGGAACACAGATATTTTCAATTTCTGCAGCTTTTTGTGTCATATGTTTTCATTCTATTGAGTAACTGAAAACCAACACATTTTTGGGGCCTGTGTTATATCTTTTTGTGACAGTACCTCTACTAAATCTAAAGAAATTAATTTTTGCACGTGGAGCTATGTAGTAGAAGTCATAAATACTTTTAGGTGAATGGCAGAACTCATGAAAAGAGGCAATGGGAAGAGAGCCATTCGTTGCTACATCACCGGTCCTGACAAAATCCATGACCACAATGCATGAAAGTGGGTGCCTTTATCTCAGTATTTTGTAATACACAATACGGATAGCTATCACTAAGTTAAAACTAGCAGCCTGCACTCTAAAAATCACAACACAAACCAGATACAACTGGAGCCTTGGTATACTCAATAAGGCATGAGCTGAAGGACTTCAGCGCAACAATCTGACCTTCCTCACCAAAAGTGCCTCTCTTTGATATTGGTACAAGAAGCCCCATCCATACTAAAATTCTTATTCCCCTTAAGACAGAGGTGGGTTGGAAAACTGGTGTCTCTCCTCCATTCTGTGGATGTCAAAATATGAAGAAGACAAGCTGCAGAGCTGAAAGGCAGCTCAAGCATACCAAACACCACCACATGCAGATGGCCTTGCAGTTTACAGCAGTACACTGTTAGACTGCTAAAACTGTGTCTTTCATTTACACAGCTGACTGGTAGCCAGCAAGAGCATTCTGAGCCAAAACCAGAATACTGCAGTTAAGAATCCAGCAAATCACCCATGACCCAATTTTTATATGTACCATGATTTCTAAACTTCCATTAACTCCAAAGTTACAGATGCTGAGTATCTCCAAAGGCCAGAGCACTGCTCATTTCCTCCCCCACTCACCAACCTGGAGGAACCATAAATGATACGAAGTAATTGCATAAAGTGGAAACTGCCTCACCTTTAAAGAAGAGTTGTTGATGAATAACACTACTAACTGGCAAACAAACTGTACTTCCCTGAGTCTTTCGGACAGAGATTTTGAACACACATTGTTGCCTGATAATTCAGAAATACAACACAGCATTTAATTCTATTTCAGCCAAACTGAATGGAAAAAAAAGGTTGAAAGGCATCACAAAATTTAAGGAAAAAATCATAAGACTCTTTTATTGTCAGCTAAATTCCTGTTGCTACAGGCTGCTTATATGGTGTGAGATAAACTTGTAATATTCTCATGAGTGTAGTGTCCAGCATTAACCACAGACGGATTTTATCTAACCTCCATTCCCTCTCAAGCATACCACAGAAATCAGTCATTTCAACCAGAGGGAAAAAAATAAATCCCTTAATAGCACAATTCCAACAAGATGTAACCACCGTCAATGAAAATCTATATATGAAACTTTTGGGGGGCCATGGAGATATTTTCACAGGAATATGTCCAAATAAAGGGATACTATAGGCCCAAGTCTTGATTAAGGCTGCATGTGATTTCCGAAAGACATACATCCTTGCTCTTAGTGTCTGGTCCCTCTGCAAAAGTCACCTTTTTGTGTGTGAAACCTCACATACTTACTAGCCTTCAAACAGAAGAACAACCAGGAAATTCAGTACATTAGAGAAAACAACGTTTTTAGGGTAATTCAGTTGTCGTAGTGAGAAAGGAGCTAATAAACTAATTGTATAACTATGCAGAAGGAGCAATTGTACCTAAATCAAGACTTTACTGGATGTCCACAGGCAGCAAACTGGAAATAAATTTTTGCCTTGACTCCACCTTTTCTTGTTTCTGAAGCTGACCTTATGACTAAATTCAGATGTCATAACAGATCAGTCTCTTGTGTGGAAGAGCTGCTAGCAGATCCCAGGACTGATTTGTTGTATCATGTTGGTTAATATAACTGCCTATTACACTCTCTGCTTATCCCTACATACCACTTTCTTGCAGAACAGAACCAAAACATGAAATCTCAAGTATACACATGACAAAAATGTATGTTATTAACACAGTTAAGCATACAACTAGCATTGACATGAATCTCTTTTTGTGTGCTCTTGCACACAAATAAATAACGTAGAGTGATAGGCAGATAAAGCCTACCTGAAGGAAAACTAGCATCATTTCTGTGGTACACTGATAAAAGCATTTTGTTACTCAAGTTCTCAGTTCACCTGGGACCACCACACTGGAGTCTGAACAGATGAGGATGTACCAACTCACATCAGAAGACTAATGATTAGAGATCAGTGTGTTGAGATTACAGCATAGCTGCAAATAGCCATGAAGTATGGTTCCACAGGTCTAGCATCTATCAGAAGGTACACAGGGAATGGTGACTGTAACGCCCCCTGAAGTTTATTCTGGGTGCTTTTACACACAGATACATGCGTGGAAAGCAGAAACCTCACTTCCTCCATCTTCTGCTACCACAACCATATCAGACAGACCCTGCTGGAGCACTGTGAGAAATGCAATTCATATCTCCAAGAGAGGATAATAGTAACGGTATAATCAATACTCAACCTTTGTATCTCAAAACCAATCTTCATAGCAGAAACCTCCACCTTCAGATGGGAAAATATACTAAGGCTTCCAGCCTCCAGACGTCAACTGCTCTGTTGATTGCATTAGGCACCTATCTACTTTAGTACTTTACAAACTCTTCTTTTTACTTACTGAAACGGAAGTAAAGCTCCTGTTTGGCACACCAGACTGACCCAGCTTTCAGACCTTGCTGAAGAGTTCTGTGCTCCATTTACCACTTCACACATTAGCCCTTCTTTCTCCTATGAAATCAGACTACAGCAAAAGACAGTTCTGTCCACGGGACTGACAGGCAGTAAAACATGGAAACTGAAGAGTTAAAATATCAATTATTTTCTTAGAAGTTAAATAATATGTTTTACCTATCATTGTATTTCACCTCCTCTCCATTCTTAGCCCAGCTGATGGTGGGCTTTGGGTTTCCCACCGCTTCGCAGTGAAGCAGCACGCTCAGTGTGCCACTGGCTAGGACCACTGTCTGTCCCAGGTGGGTAACAACCTCTGAAGCAGAAAGCTGTTGTGCTGCTGATATCTTTCGGAGGATGGCAGGCTTTCGATGAGGTCTGCGCAAGCCATTTGCCAGGTCTACAGAGGTGGGAAGAAATGCTTCAGCAGATGAAGTCCTCAGGGAGCTGGTAAATCCAGAAACGTGCCTGTTGAGAGGGTATTCCATTGAGGTTGAATCTACTCTTCGCCTTGATGCTCTGAGGACGGATTCCTGGTGTTCCAAGTAGCTCTTGAAAACCTCATGAGCCAGCTGCACAACAAGCTGCTCAGTGTAGACATCTTTAAGCTCCTCAGGCTGTTGAGACAAGTTCCTTATGATATCATCCAAGCGTTTCTGCTCTGTGACCATAGTAAATGGCAGGCTATACTCCTGGCTCTGGTCCTCCTCTGAGGATGCATTTCTCTCTGTGGACTCCTGTGCTTCCCAGAACTCCAGATTTTCCTGTGGCCAGCCCCTGTGCTGCAGCAGCCTTGAGACAATATTGTCATACCAGCTACTGGGGTCAGCAAGGTGCCCTTGCTTTTCAGCCTTACTCCCATTGAAGGGAATCCCATTGATATGCTTCTCCTGTGTTCGCAAGGCTTCATTTAAGCTCGCCTTTCTCATGGCCTCTTCCTCCCTAATACTAGTTGACTGCCCAGCAATAATCTTCTTGTTGTTTCCAATTAGTTTAATTACAAAATGCTCCCGCACTGGCCCCGCTGTACAGGTGTATGTCCCAGTGTCTGAAGGCTTCAAACGATGGATTTTCATGTACCCATAGGATGCAATGGTGATGTGAGGTGAGCTGATAAGCCTCTTGTCATCCTTCTCCCAAGTGATCATTGATTTCTGGAACCTCCTTGTGGGGCATCGGAGAATAACAGAGGTTTTGGGCAGCAGGTAGGCGTACCCACCCACAATAAAGTGTAACTTCCTCTGCTTCCTTGTCTGGATGTAAACTTTCTTGACAGCCACAATATGGGGGCTTTGCTTATGAGATGGCCTGTTGCGCCCTGAAATTCATTAATACTATTAGTATGTGTTATCATTAAAACAAGCAGGTTACTTTTGTGCTGGAAGCTTTCGACCCATTAGGCAGAAATGGGAGAAACTGGCCACCAGCTGCTGAACATTAAGTTGCAGCAATCAAAATAAGAGGAATAACACAATGCACATCGGAATGCAAAAGTAGTCCCACCCAAGGTACATGCAGAAACCAAAGAGCCAGGGACAAAAGCTTTGTGACAGGGAGAAAATTTGAGTGCAAATGTAGTACTGGTTGTTAAAGCATTTAAATGAAGATTGTTGCTTAATAAATACGTTGAAAAGACAAATGTTTAACATCCAAACCCTCAAAGGCAACATGATCTTGCAGATCACAGTGATAAGGAAGAACAAAAGTGCTGCCTCTTCAGGGAGTAAAGTTGAACGGAACAAAACTGTCTGGACTAGGTTTAAAAACACAGTAAATACTACTGTGCACTAGTTCAGTGTATTCTTCCAGTTTGCACATCTCTATGACAGAGATCTTTGTTACGAAGTACTAAATTAAACAGCATAGGTAAATTATTAGTAAATACTATGCAACATTTTGTCCCAGCTTTAGTTCTGAATGTCAGGTCTTTTCTCCCTTACATACCCAACATTTAGCAGTTTCAGAGTTCATGGTCAGCTTTAAGCTGAAACTAGGCTGACTTTCGAAATTTTGCATATCTAATTGGCTTATTGCAAGGCAGGGAAGAACCTACGGGGAGACTACTGCTCTTGTGAAGGGCAACAAGAAATGCATGAAATACCAATATAAAATACATCTAACTTATGTTGCATAGTTCATTAGAAATCCCAGGTCACAGAGGGTTCTGAGTGACACAGTGAAATTATATGTTTTTAAATTATGTCCTGGGCTGCATCAAAAGAAGCGTGACCAGCAGGTAGAGAGAGGTGATTCTCCCCCTCTGCTCTCATGAGACCCCACCTGGAGTACTGCGTTCAGCTCTGAAGTCCTCAGCACAGGTCACGGACCTGTTAGAGCGAGTTCAGAGGAGAGCCACGAAGATGATCAGAGTGCTGGAGCACCTCCTGTACAAGGACAGGCTGAGAGAGTTGGGGTTGTTCAGCCTGAAGAAGAGAAGGCTCCAGGAAGACCTTATAGCAGCCTTCCAGTACCTGAAGGGGGTCTACAGGAGAGATGGGGAAACACTCTTTATCAGGGAGTGTAGTGACAGGACAAGGGGTAACTGCTTTAAACTGAAAGAGGGTAGATTTAGATTAGATATTAGCAGGAAGTTTTTCACTGTGAGAGTGGTGAGACACTGGAACAGGTTGCCCAGAGAAGCTGTGGATGCCCCATCCCTGGAGGTGTTCAAGGCCAGGCTGGATGAGGCTTTGAGCAACCTGGTCTTGTGGGAGGTGTCACTGCCCAAGGCAGGGGGGTTGGAACTAGATGATCTTTAAGGTCCCTTCCAACCCAAACCATTCTATGCTTCTGTGATCTTCAACAAAATCCCTTACCAACCATCTTCTTTGCAGCTGCTCTAGCAGAGAGTTTATTTGCAGCTGCCCTCAGGCTGCTGTGCTGTATCTCAGCATCATTTCCAGTCATGAAATTTAGATCTAGATTTGGGTCTGAATTTTGAGACAGTTCTTCCAGAAACTAGTAGCTCCCTTCCAGCACATTGGCGCAGACCCAGCTCCAACAGTAAAATTCATAGCTCATCCACTGACTTGCCTTATTACTAAACAAAGCACAGCTTTTTTACAGCCTAAGAAACTCAGCAGTAGTAGCCACTCTGCAAGACCAAGTAACGCCAGCACAAGAGAAGGTCACGGAGCAGGTGACAGCATGGATTTCTTAGTGATGGACATGCAAGCCTCCTTTCCCCAGACACTCTCAAGCACATTTTCCACTCACTTGCACAGGCACCTAGTGCACAGGGCCTGATCAAGGATGAGAATGGCAAAGGTGGGCACAGTGAGGAATTGATGATGACCGAACCCCCGGTTTTCAGCATCTTTCTGCAAATGGCATTTCGACTCTGTGTGCCGTCTCCACAGCTTACTGAACACTAGAACAGAATGAGAAACATTAGGAACAAGATGTACTAAAAGCAAAAGGGTGTTTCTTGTCACACCTCCCCAGCCCTTACCTCCCATATCCACACTGCATAGTTGTACCACAGTACAGATTAGTTACAGCTTTCAAAATACCACAGTGGAGTAGAGCAGAGCAGCACCTGGCCATTCGGTTTCAAACAGTGCAGGCACAGTAGGGAGATATCAGGCATTTTCTGTCCTTTGATGCTTTGTATCTTCCCACACTCCTTTTATCACTTTTTTATCTCAGATGACATCCCTTGTTTTAATGGTACTGTGCTATAGTACAAACCCTGTCTTTGCACTTTCTTTCTATATGTTTGTGTCTGCTGGGTGGAAAAACTCCTGCTTATAGCCAAGAGCATACCACATGGAGTTGAACTTCACAGATACATCCTGTTCTGCTAAAATCTGGCCTAAATCTTTGAGCTTTGCTATTGCAGATCTATTAGAAATAATAAATGCATGAGTGTTTCAGACACCAATGAGTTGCCTCAGCCTGGCAGTCACCATACATGGTTTACACAAAAGAGTATAAACCCTCTAATACCAGACTGTGATGCTCAATGCACAGATGGGCATTGTTCGATGGAATTCAGCTTGCCTATTTTCTTTCATATTTATCTGTATGGCATCACAGAAAGTGAGAATACGGGCAGTGCCACCATTGCATTGGGACCCCAGCCGCAGTCTGTAAAGGGGCTGGAAAAAAAAATTACCGTCTTTGCTGCCAGCATGGCTATGTGTATCCTGGCAGCAGGCTTCATAAGAACATCCACTTATTTGAGTAAAATGTCAAGACAGATGAACATATGAAGGGTGCAGGTGGGACAGCTCTGTGAATTGACTGGTGTTTCTTTCCCAAGTAAGACAATTTCTACCTCCGTCCGTGAAAGAGAACTGGGAGGGCAGTGGCAGAGATTGCAAGATGGGGAATGATTTTCATGCTTACTGGCATTAAAAGATGAAATTATATTTTCTGTTATACCGTCATAAATGTAAAGGGAATTTTTCTTAAGCCATATGGGGCCAGGGAGGGAGCTTGGGAAAGTACAAGAGACTTCAAAAGAGCGAGTTTGTTTTGCCATCCCTAAATTGAAGGAAGCAAATAGCTAGCTAACATTGCAAAAAACTGTGTCCTAGAATGAAAGAGGCTTGGTGTCTGTAATGATGTGTCTATAGCAGACTGAAGGCATTCAACCCTTCTCTTCTCTGCATCACAGGTAAAGATTGGAGTGGCCCCAAGAGGAAAATTCGACTATTGACATCAGAACAGCCAGGCTTTGGAAAGAAAAAGCATTTAGCTTGGGGGAGTCAAGATTACTCTTCATTGATGCCTTGGATGAACATAAGCAAAGGTACAGACAGAGACAGGGATTTATTGTTTTGAACATGACTTGTGTTTATGCCAGAAGGGAGGTCTTAATGGCTTGGCTCGTTGTCTAAACAACATCTGTGGATGCAATCTCCACAGAGGAACACTGAGCTAGTGATCACATCCCCTACACTACAGGACAAAACCAGGCGTAACATGCTTTGTGCAGTCTGATGTCATTTGGCTCCTTTGTCTCAACTGACCAAGGAACTTCTTCACCAAGAACAGCACAACACTCACAGATACACATAGCATACCTGTGTCCACTCAGAGAGAAGCCACTCATTGGGACAATCCTCATTTTCGCAGGCTTGCTGGGTATCTGGCCTTGGTGTGGAGCAGAAGGTTTCTGGCAGCTCTAACAAGCTTCCATCTGCCAGGCGCTGCTTGCAAAGTGTATCTCGCTTCTGGACACCACCACCACACGTCTGCGAACACTGTGGGAGATGATAGTCAGCCACCTTACATTATACTTGCACCATGGCAATTTGCAGGAAAAATTACTTGAGAATTTTTATAGAAATAAACACCCAGTTTTGGCCAAACAGAAAAGAATTTAAAAAAATATTTCAGAGATGTCAAAGCAGACTTCTTTTAAAAATGTCAAAAATATTTTGGAAACTGGAAGCAGCTTATGTTGCTAATACTTAGAAAAAATGCTTAATTATTTCTGAAATGTTCTCTTTTCAGGCATGTGTACAAAAGACACGGAAACAATGGGTCAGAATTGCAGCATGGAGGTGGAAAAGTTGTCCTTTCCTGTAACCACCAAATGGAAAATGAGACACTTACACAATGTGGAGGATCTATCCTAATGTCTCTGCCTGAGCTCTGACTGTCTTACTGACAGTGCCAGAGAGAGTGGAAAAGCATTCTCCAGCAGTAGATTATTCAAGACCTTCATTTCCAGGATTTGATTATGCCTATTAGGTAACAGTAGCTTTGAACTAAATAGTTATCTTGAACTAAATATTCAAATTCAGCTTGTTAAAAAAAAAGGTTTGCGTTGACAAGAAAAACAAATGGAAATTTGACAGTGTGAGAAATAAAATTTTCCCCACTTTATTACTTTGCTTTTCCATCCTTTTGTAATTTTCTCATTTCTTGTTTCTGACCTGCATGAGATCTATTGCTAGTGCAGCTCAAAAACCAGTCAGCCCCAAATTCCTGTCCTTGAAGACTTCTTGCATTATGGCATTTTTTCATGCAAAAGCTGTCTATCAGCTCCAATCTGCTGTTAGCCTCAGTAATTGGTTTATAAGGTTAATATAAGAACCATTAAATACCCACATAGCCCTTTTATATTTATGGCTGTCATGACAGCAGTGTGTACTCTTTCCAAAAGGTAGGGAGGAAGGTTTATTTGAACCAAAGTAAATTGGGATGATTAATATTCAGAGAACCCATCTCCCCTCTCTCTTTAATGTAAGTATCCCTCCCTTCTGTATCCATTTGCTACCCAAGCAGGGCAGCAAATTTTGAACAGTCAGATTTAATAGCTTTCCTGAATCTTTTTGTAAACTTGGTTGCTCAGCCCTTTTTCTTGAGGATTTTTTTCCTGAGTCTGGTAATAGGCTCACAGTTCTGCTAAGTCCAGATAGCTCAACTCCTTTACTCCCTGCTCCTAGCAAAGAAGAACAGGGAGCTTGCACTACACTGACATGTCCAGGAGTTCCTTATAGCTTGCAACATGGGAGTTATGCCTGAGAAGCAGAAAAACATATGAAGAAGTATTAAAACATACTCAAGGGGTTAAAAAGGAACTGTTTTAGAAAATCGTGCAGTTGTGAAAGGTCCTTCTGTCTTAGGGAAAGCTGCGTAAACTTTAATGCTAGTGTGATTATTTAGGATATACATTTTCCTTGAAAGAGAGAAAGGAAGTGCAGAAAGACATATTTATATTCAGTTTGGTTTCCTCTCCAGTGAGTAAAAATAGCTTTTTTTCCTACTTACTTAGAGTGCTACAAAGCTCAAAGGCTTCAAAAAAAAAAAAAAAACAAAAACAACAAAAAACCAGACAATATATTAAAACAAAAGAAAACATTTATCAACCTTTCATTTGAAGACAATTCATTCCTGAGGAGAGAGTAAATAAAGAAAAACATGACTAAAATATTATTTCAAGATTGCCTAAAGACTGTCACCATATATCAGAGACAAAATGGGTTAGGTGCTGTATGAATACAACAAAAGAATGTTCCTCCTGTCCATTCAAATTCCAGGAAGTCTCCATTTCCTTCCATCACTACTGGATAAAAGAGTAAGACAAAACAGATATTTTCTTGCTTCTTGCCCTTCAGTCACTCACACAGCTTTGTTTCGTGAAGAATAACTTGCTACTCAGCACCAAACCCTATTGCTAAGTGCTAGAGAGTGCCAAATG